CACACCCGTGAGCCCCCACCACACCCTATGAGCCCCACCACACCAATGAGTCCCTGTCACAACCCCCCGTGAGCCCCCACCACATCTTGTGAGCCCTCATGACCCCACTCGAGAGTCCCCGGACCATGTGAGCTCTGCCACATCCTGTAAGCCCCCAAGACCCTCCCATGAGCTCCCACGACAATCCACGATCCCTGACACTCTATGAGCCCCCAGAGCTCCCTATGAGTCCCCATGACCCAGATCACTAGGCTTTCACTGCTTGGGAATGGCTAATGAATTGCGAAGGCAGCCCCTTCCCTGTGGGGCAAGGACAGGGGGAAGGATGGATGGTCCCAGGGGGCCCCAAGCGTCCACTAAGGCTAACAGAGAGAAGACGGTAACTAGTTGCCCAAGGGTTCAGCTTTGGGGTTACACTGGCCCTGGCCTGAAGGTGCGCACCCTCAGGTCTGGTCCAGTGGCACAAAGGTGTGTGCCCTCAGGTCTGGTCCAGTGTAACCCCAAAGCTGAACTCCTGGGAAGATGATGACAAGGACCTTCCTCCAGAACCGATAGAGAGAGAAACCCTTTGCCTGGAGCTGACGCCCTGAATTTGGACTTCTAGCCTCCTAGACTGTGAGAGAAATAAATTTCTCTTTGTTAAAGCCATCCACTTGTGGTATTTCTGTTATAGCAGCACTAGATGACTAAGACAGACACACACATACACACACAAACACACACATACGCATACACACACCACCACCATTGCCACCATCCTCTACAACAACCCAGTTGCAACCCCCAAGTTTATAAGCTTCCATCCATCTGAACTGTTCGACCCTGAGGTGCCTTGAGCAAGACACCCTTAGATCTAACAAGATCAAGTGCAAGTCCAGCACCTTCTTCTCGTCTCTCTCTCTTATCTCCTCCCCTTCTCCCTGCTCACTCTCTCAACAAGCCCCTTTCTCTTTGTCAATGTCATAAGCCCACCAAAACCCACCTCACCCAGTTCAGGGCCCGGTCCGAATCTCCCTCCTGCTCTGGTGAGCACATGGCCTTTCACGGAAACGTAGCTGTGATGTTTGGAAGACGCCAGGAGGGGACAGGCGGGCGGGAGACGCCTACACTCATCTGTGATAGAACTGTGAGAGTCTTCAGTCCACTCCAGCTGGAACCCTGCCCCCAGAGACCTAACAGATGGCTGTACCTCTCATTACTTCCTTGGTGTCTGTATCAGGAAGATAGGGCTCAGACCACGGAGCCCCCGCCCTCACAGTGAGGCTCTCCCAGATGCCCGTGTAGGGGAGTCACATCCCTGGTACACAGTGACAAGCCCACCAGACCAAGAGCCATAACTTTCCACGGCTTCACAGCTGCCCCACCAAACTCCAGTGGTGGTGAGCATGTTCCTGCCTCTTAAAAGGCAAGAACCTTCCACCATTTCATGGGGGGTAGCCTGCTGGGTACTGGAGGAGCCAACGGTCCAGAGAGGTCAGACCCTCTGCTTGGTCCAGTGGACAAACGGACTCAGAACCTCTGGCCCCAGGAGAGCCAGAGTGGAGGGCTGGCCTTACCGGGTTCTCCGTCTGGTTGATCCCAACCCCGAAGACCAGCTGGGAGCAGAAGAGCGCCACGATGAGGTTCTTGTGGATGCTGTGCAGGTTGGAACGCAGTGTCCGGACCAGTGCCAGCAGGACGAAGGCCACCAGCAGGGCCGCCAGGGACAAGGACAGGGCCACGTAGGTGACAATTTTCAGGGGCAGGACCTCGCCATGCTGTGGGAGTCGGTTAGAGGCAGAAGAACATGAAGGCCATGACCAGGATAGAGCTTTTCCAGAATAAAGACAAGCTAGCTTGTTGCATCTCAGTTGGGTCAAGCCGGGCAGGAAACAATGGACTGCACGTGGTTCTCAGGGAGGCAAAAACACTCAAACCAACCAGCCAGCACACACAGGAGATGCCGAGCCTGCCTGCAACAAATCATGCGCCAGGAGACACCTTCCGAAGGGACCTTCAATTTATATTAAAGTAGACCCTTTCGAGCTTCAAGGGGCTGCAACTCTCCTGTGCTCTGGCCAAATATGACACCGGTGAAGGACCCAGCATCCCGGGTGTTATGCACTGAGTTGTGTCCCCACAGATGTGGGTTGGAATCCTAACCCTGATGGCACAATGGTTAAAGCATTTGGCTGCCTTACCGAAAGATCGGCAGTTCAAACCCACCAGCCGCTGCGTGGGAGAAAAGACCGGGTGATCTGCTCCCATAAAGATTACAGCTTAGGAAACCGTATGGGGCAGATCTACTCTGTCATATGGGGTTGCTATGAGTCGGAATCGACTTGATGGCACCTAACAACAACAGATACCTGTGGATGTAATCTTGTTTGGAAATAGGGTTTTCTTTGTGTTAATGAGGCCATGTCAGTGGAGGGTGGGTCCTGAACCTAGTCACTTCTGACATATAAGGAACAGATTAGGCACAGAGACAAGAAAGCACACATGGGGAAGACAGACGTTATCTGCTGAGGATAGAGACATGAATCTACAGGCCCAGGAACGCCAAAGGTTGCTGGCAGCTACCAGAAGCTGAAATAGACAAGGAAAGACCTTCCCCGAGAGCCACATCTTGAATTTGGACTTCCAGCCTCCTCAACTGTGAGAAAGTAAATTTCTGTTTGTCAAAGCCCCACCCTCCTTGTGGTGTTTTTGTTACAGCAGCAACAAGACACTGAGACCTGGGGACATCTGCCATTTGGGAACAACAAGCTCTGGTTCTCCAGTAACTTCCATGAAGTGTTGCTCTGGTGACAGAGAACTGTGCTGGCCCTGGACCTGAGCCTCGGGCTGCCCAGGGAGTCCTGGAAACCAGCACTGGGTGGGGTGGTGAGGCCTGATGCTCCGCCCTGGGTCTGCCCTGCTCTCTCTGCTCCTCCTAGGGCCCTGGGCCCTCAGGTGACCCCTGGAGGCTGCTGTCCCCAGGAGAGGTGAGACAGCCAGGCCTGCAGCAGCCTCCTGGCTTCCCCTGCTGCCTGGGTGGGCTGGCTGGAGGTCTCTGGCTTCGAGGTACACCCGGGGCACGGAGGCCTGACTCCTACTACTCAGTTTTCCTTTTTTCTCTCTGAATTTTAGTTTCCTCAGCCCGAGGGTCAGCTCCTGGCCCTGCCCAGCTTCCTAGCCCTGAGATGACCCCAAATCCCTCCTATGTGAACAACAACAAAATACCAAACCCGAGGTCATCGAGTCATTTCCAACTCATAGTGATCCTATAGGACAGAGTATAATGGCCCCTAAGAGTTCCAACGCTGTAATCTTTGTATCATAACAAATTATGGATAACATTGGGAAGAATGGGAATTCCAGAACACTTAATTGTGCTCATGAGGAACCTGTACATAGATCAAGAGGCAGTTGTTTAGACAGAGCAAGGGGATACTGCGTGGTTTAAAGTCAGGAAAGGTGTGCGTCAGGGTTGTATCTTTTCACCATACCTATTCAATCTGAATGCTGAGCAAATAATCCGAGAAGCTGGACTATATGAAGAAGAACAGGGCATCAAGATTGGAGGAGGACTTATTAACAACCTGTATTACGCAGATGACACAATCTTGCTTGCTGAAAGTGAAGAGGACTTGAAGCACTTACTGAAGAAGATCAAAGACCCCAGCCTTCAGTATGGATTACATCTCAACATAAAGAAAACAAAAATCCTCACAACTGGACCAGTAAGCAACATCATGATAAACGGAGAAAAGATTGAAATTGTCAAGGATTTCATTTTACTTGGATCCAAAATCAACACCCATGGAAGCAGCAGTCAGAAAATCAAAAGACTCACTGCATTGGGCAAATCTGCTGCAAAAGACCTCTTTAAAGTGTTGAAAAGCAAAGATGTCACCTTGAAGACTAAGGTGTGCCTGGCCCAAGCCATGGTGTTTTCAATCACCTCATATGCATGTGAAAGCTGGACAATGAATAAGGAAGACCGAAGAAGAATTGATGCCTTTGAATTGTTGTGTTGGTGAAGAATATTGAGTATACCATGGACTGCCAAAAAGAAGAAACAAATCTGTCTTGGAAGAAGTACAACCAGAAGCTCCTTAGAAGCAAGGATGGTGAGACTTCATCTTACATACTCTGGACATGTTGTCAGGAGGGATCAGTCCCTGGAGAAGGACATCATGCTTGGTAAAGTAGAGGGTCAGTGAAAAAGAGACAGACCCTCAACAAGATGGATTGACACAGTGGCTGCAACAGTGGGCTCAGGCATAACAACGATTGTGATCATGACGCAGGGCCAGGCAGTGTTTCGTTCTGTGGTGCACGGAGTCACTATGAGTCAGAACCAGCTCGACGGCACCTAACAACAACAATCTTTACAGAAGCAGACTGCCACAGCTCTCTCCTGAGGAGCGTGTGGTGGGATCGAACTGCTGACCTATCGCACTGTGCCACCAGGGCTCCTAATAACTAGCCCTCTCCATGCTGGGCCCCTCAATAAGGTGGACAGACCTCAATGGCCACAACAATGGACTCGAGCACAACAACAATGGTGAAGATGGCACAGGACCGGGCAACATTTCATTCTGTGGTACACGGGGTCGCCACGAGTCGGGGCCGACTCCACGGCAGCTAACAGCAACAACGGCAATGCTGGGCCCTAGGCTACCTATGTGAAGATGGCCCCTGCCCACAGGGGGCGCTCCATTGTCAAGGGAAGGCCGAGGGGCATGCTCCATGTCGCTGACCCTGCACATGATGCAGGACCACGATCCCCTTGGCATCGGACCCCAGTCAGCAGCATCTCTCGCGTCTCACTCCCTTTCCAAGGATGTGAGAGAAGCTTGGGCCACTTCAAACCAGAACGCCCTTGGGAAGGACAAAGGCCTGGGCTCCTGGACTGCGTCCCAGCTCCGAGAAGGAGGTGCTGACTGTGAGGTCACCCACGGGCCTCTACTCTGGGTTCCTAATACGGTGTCCCACACACGCTGGCCCTGCTGACCTCCTAATGGGACTCCGGGCAGGCCCTCCCCACCGCACAATTCCCCCCCAGGCCCTCAGGGGCCGGTTGCGTTCTCAGCCCGTTTAAAATGCCAGAGGTTGAACATTAGCCGCCCCGAGCTTGGGCTGGGGACCAAGCCCCCTTTGTCTTGGAGCCAGCATCTGCGGCGGCTGGAGGGGGATACTCCCTTTGTACACACCAGCCCCACGCTTTTCTCCCTCTCTCCCTCGGAGCTGAGAGGTGGAAACAGCATCGTCTAAAAGGCGCTGAAAACCCGCTTTGAAGTGAGGCCTACATTCAAGGGATTTCTTTTGAGTCTGAGGCTAGGGTCTGCCTCTGTGATTTCTAATTTACAACCTGAGCTCTTTGAAAGCCCTTTTAATAGGGTTTTGTGATGGAAATCCTAGCAAATTCTGGCCAACGCGCTCCTCAAATGTGGGTTTTAATTGGCCGACTCGGGTTGTTCAAAGCTCTCAGAGGGAAAGGTAGGGCTGGTTGAAGGGCAGGCTTGTGGGGTAGGATACATTTCCAAAGCGGTTGATCCCGGGACACAGGCAGGCAGGCTGCCACACCCACCTCACGCCGGGACACGTCCATGAGCACCGCAAAGCTGGTCAGGTGGTTGCACTGGCAGGTCACGTGCGTCCGGTTCCGGGACAGAAGTTCGCAGCCCTTGGCCGACCAGCCTCCCGTCCTGCCGAGGCTGTGGAACAAGGAAGAAGGGTGGGTGAGCTGGTTCCCTCCATCCCAGAAGGCCGAGGGGCAGCCGTGCTATCGGCTGGCCTCGGTGGAAGGAACGGACAGACGCAGACGGCAGTGACTCGCTCCCACAGAAAGTCCCGTGATGCTGTGGAATATCCTTCGCCTGCGTTCCTTGGACAGCATCACGGCCTGATGACAAACACCTTGGTCACCTTTGCCTACAACAACAGCCCCCGCTGCCATTCAGGACAGTCTCCCTCCCCTTTGGGGGCTGCTGAGGGCTTCTAACTGGCACTTTCTGAAGTTCACGCTTTCCGGGCCCCCCAGCAGTAAACCCTAACTGGGGACTTCTCAGGCCTACTCCACGTCCCTGGTGGAGGAAACATTAGCCTGTGGTTAAAACTGGTACTCTGTACTCAAGCCTCCTTTGGAGTCTAAATGATTTCAGAAATAATTCCTCACATGCGTTTTACACTTTGATCTGCGGGTTGCACAATCTTTTATGGGAACGGCCAGGAAGTCCGGCTCTATTATTACCCCGGTTTTACTGATGGGAAGCCCCAAATAACCAGCTGTGACGCGGCGTGTCTCAGCCTCGTGAGGGCCCTGCCCTGCCTGACTCTGGGAAAAATCACATAACCCCTCTGATCCTCAGTTTACTCATCTGTGAAATGGGATGTGAGCGTTAATACGAATTTGCCAAGAGCTTTCAGATCTGTGGATAATAGGTACCACACAAAGCGGAGAGTGGGTAATCAGAGCAATAGCTAACTGCCAGGAGTGACCGAAGAGAGAGCAAGAGAGGTGGGTAGCCTGGCTCATCGCCGTTAGCATGTCCCTCGTCATAAAAATGGTTCCTCTGTTCTCTCTTTTTCAAACCAAGCGTCTATTAGACCCCACACACCGTGCCGGCCGCTCGTTAACAAGACTTTGGAGAGTCTGGCAGCAGGGACAAGATGACGCTGGGCCCTCTGGCCGCCAAAGATGCTTCCCCAGGTGACACCGCGGGGACAGGCCATCGGCTGGCTCACCCCGGGCAGCACACCCAGCCCAGCACTGATGCAGCCCCCTCTCACTAAACCAGTGGATCCGTGATTTTAGGGAATGCAGCATTGCACAGGAATTCCCAGACGCACACCATTTGGGCATGGTGGAGCAGGGGTGGGCGGGGGCGCCTCAGCTCCACTCCCTGAATTCCTGGAGGGTGGCACCCCTTTGCTGGCACCCTCTACTGGCGCGGAGAGGAGCAGCAGTCTTTCTTGTTGGAGACTGTACTTGGCCTCCCTCCAAAGCAGCGAAGCAGCGTGGCAAAAACGCCGCTCTGTTTTCTACTAAAATGAAGATGGAAACAGGAAAGGAGACGAGCAGAGAAGAAGGGAGACAGACAGGCCAGCACGTACGAGTTCACGGCTCCCACAGAAAGCCCTGCCGCTAAAGAAACAAGGGCCCCGCTAGCTTTGAGTCAACAGAAAATGACGCTAAACCCTCGCCGGTGGGGAAAAACCGCTCGCTTTCATTTCTGTAACTACAGGATACCTCTTCCCAGAACATTACGCGTGAATGAGTGAATGAACACTCAGGATGCTGGAGCATTCAGTACTGTGCACCACCGCGTGCCTTTGACAGTCTACTGGAGGGCCCTTTGACCCTTGTCTTAAATAAACTGAACAACTACGGGGTGTGTGGTCTCTCCGGGGTAGAAAGAGCCCCAGCAGCTGTGCTGCGGCCGGCCTCGTGGCAGGGCCGAGGTCAGGGGGCTCCCATCTGATATGGAGACCCACACACGTCTGACAGTTGCCACTGTCGGGTGGAGGGGCTCCTGGGCCCAGGACCTGAGCCTGGCCGCCTGTGTGTGTTCAGGACACAAGCTGCACTTGTGTGGCGGTGGACTGGGTGTCTGCGTTGGCCACGGGCTCACAGGAGCCCTGCAGGTGAGCCACCCATTTCCAACGGCAGCCTTCTCGAGGTATCCGTATGTGCATGTCTGTGTGTGTGTGTGCATACATCTGTGTGCATATGCGCGTGCATGTCTGTGTGTGTGTGTGCATGCTTATCTGCGTGCATATGTGTGTGCATGTCTGTGCGTGTGCGCGTTCTGCATGCATATACACCAAGTGTGCACACCTGTGTGTGCATGTCTCTGTGTGTGTGGACAGGGAGACAGAACAGAGCTGGAGGATAAGCCTCTTGCCCCACTGGGGGCTGGACGGGGAACAACAGGCCAGGAAAGAAGGTGCCTGGGACACTCAGCCAGCCTGGGTGTCCAGGACCAGCAGGGAGCTCCAGCCTCAGCAAAGCCTCACACCGAGATGCCGCACTCCTGAAGCAGGAGGTGGCTGTCCTCGCCTCCAGCATTACACTCACGGGATTGAGTGGTTCCAGAACACGCAGACGGGCTTGGTGCGTTCCTCTGTCTCCAGCAGGGCGGACTCCACCAGGATGGGCCTCTCCAGGGGGCTGGGGAGCGCAGTGCCCTCGCTGTACACCACCGCACTCACCACTGCCGTGTTGATGACGGGCCGGCTGGGCAGCCTGCGACGGAACGAGGGCATGAAGTGTGCTGAGAAGGCGTTTGTTTTAAACTCATGTGCTCAGCTGAGGACAGAGGTCGACCATCTTTCTGTGAGCACGTGACTGCAGCCTATGAGACCCTGCTCTGCGGCAGGCCTGGGTGGCAGCCTTCAGCCCCAAAGCGGGTTTATCACCAATAGAGAGTGTGTGGGGAGAGGCGCACCACCTCCAGGCCGAAGGCAGACTTTAGAAATTTAGAAATAAAGAGAAGGTATATCCACAAAGGTGTTAAAACCGAAACCACCAAAATCCACTGCCGTCAAGTCGATTCCGACTCATAGCGACCCTACAGGACAGAGTAGAACTGCCCCATAGAGTTTCCAAGGAGCACCTGGTGGATTTGAACTGCTGACCTTTCGGTTAGCAGGCAAACTCTTAACCACTGTGCCACCAGGGTTTCCACAAAGGTACTACAGCCCCATAATATACAACAGCAAAAGCAGTGGCAGTAACTTCAAAGTCTACCCAAAGGAACCTGGTCACATACATTACAGGTTGTTATGGATTGAAAATTGTGTCCCCAAAAAGATGTGCTGAAATCCTAATGCCTGACGCCTGTGAACGTGACCCTGTTTAGAAATAGGGTCTTTGAGGATGAGATCAGTTAACACAGGCTCATACCGGAGGAGGGGAGGTCCTGAGCCCATCTGAGTGGTGTCCTTATAAAAGCGGAGAAGGGAAGAGAGACAGGGAGACAGGAAGGGCGTGTGATGAGGGAGTTATCTGCCACTGCAAGGAATGCCCGGGGCCACTGGAAGCCGGGAGAGACAAGCAAGGATCTTCCCCTAGAGCCTCTGGGTACAATGGGGCCCTGCTGACACCCCGATTTGGACTCTCAGCCTCCAGGACCGTGGGACAATAACTCTCGTCGGTGCCCTTTGTCACGGCAGCCCTAGAAGGCTAAGACACAGATCATGGGCGAATATCGTCCAGTCACTACGGGTCATGGACGTGAAGCCTGCAGAGCCCAGGGAAGCTTCTGGAAAACGACAGCGTGTACCGCCTCTCTGACGGCGTGACGCTGCTGTGGGTGAATCCTTGATTTTACCCGTCTTTATGGAGCCGCCCTCTCGAGTGCTGGGCTGCGCGCAGAACGTGTTTCTGGGTGCGGGGTGGATTTACATGGGGCCCTGGGGTCTTCCCGGCAGGGACACTGGGGCGTGCTAGGAGCCGAAGCCTGAGGATGGAGGGCTGGGATGGGGGACGAGATGGGAGGACGCAACGGCTGACCAGGACCAACACGGGCAGGCTCTCCTTCTTTGGGAGAGGGTCCAGTGTAACCTCCTTAGGGTGGGCCCTCGGGAGCCCGGCACCCGGCCTTACCAGAGGCTGCGGCGGTCGGGGTCATAGTGCTCGGGCAGCAGCTGCCCCAGGGTCCGGTAGATGATGACCAGGGCGACGGCGAACTGGCCGGGCTGGTCTGGGTGTCTCCGCCATCTGGACGGGGCCTCCCTCTCAGCACCGAGCCCCAGGCGTGCCGGCTGTGGTGCGGCCTTCCGGCTGGGCGGCCTGGCCGTGGGGCCTTCTGCAATGCAGGCGCAGAGGGTGAGGCCTAGGCACCCAGCTGTGTCTCACCAAGCTGAGCTCCCCGGGCGGGTGCTTCTCAGCAATCCGCAGGTGGCCCGGGTGATCGAGCCCAAACTGACACACGGCTTGTAGGATGCGTCAGTGCCAGGCACGACCCCACATCCGAGTAAGGCCCGCTTTGAAAGATTTCATTTAAAGCCTGAGAAATGCACTCAGATAACCGGCAAAACTAAGCGACTGATTCAACAGAGAGACACAGGGCATGGGGACTCCGCACGAGGGCCAGGGAGTGGGGCCCGCCTGCTGGTCACCTGTTCTAAACGTGTCAGCCTAAACCCAAGAAATGCAAACCATCATCGTCAAGTCGGTTATGACTCATGGCGACCCCACGTGGTACACAGTACAACTGTGCTCCACGGGGTTTGCTTGACTGTAATTCTAATGGAAGCAGATCTCCAGGCCTTTATTCCACAGTGCTGCTGGGTGGGTTCGAACCACCGACTTTCAGGTTAGTGAAAACAAAACCCATTGCCGTCAAGTCGATTCTGACTCATAGCGACTCTAAAGGACAGAGTAGAACTGCCCCACAGGGTTTCCAAGGAGCAGCTGGTGGATTTGAACTGCTGACCTTTTGGTCAGCAGCCAAGCTCTTAACCACTGCACCACCAGGACAGTGCAAACCATTTGGGCCACTGTCAACCTATTGTGTCAACCTATTGCATCTCTTTTCCCAGATTCACACTGTGTGTTTTAAAATGATTTTATAAACTGTAATTTGAGTATCTTTAGAAAAAACTTATTAATACATTTGCTAATGAACGGGAAAACACAAATCTGCTGAAAACATTTCAAATTTTAAATGATCCTTTATGTAATGTTTAGGAGTCCCTGGATGCTGAAATGGCGAACATACTGGGCTGCTAACCAAAGGCTGGAAGTTCGAGTCCACCCACAGGGACCTTGGAAGAAAGGCCTGGTGATCTACTTCTGAAAACTCAGCCATTGAAAACCCTGTGGAGCACAGTTTACTCTGACACACGCTGGGTTGCTATGAGTCGGGGTTGACTCCATGGCAACTGGTATTATTCTGAGAAGAAGTTTTAGTAGCTGGGATGCATCTATGAAAAACACCTTCAAAGGTACTATAACACATTGAAGCCATTTTGTAGTATAATCACACTCCCGGCTTAAAGAAGGACAGGCAGGCACTATTCCAGCTTGTTTTTTGGGGGGGTCAAGGAGTGTGGCCCTCCTGCTTTCCACTTGTTTTAAATGTGTCAACCTAAAACCAAAAAAACCGAACCCATTGCCGTCGAGTCTATTCCTGCTCACGGTGACCCTACGTGGGCAGCCCCTCACCGCACACCGAGGGGTCTCCCTCACGTGCAGTCCCAAGCGCCCGCATGTTTGTCACCTTATAAATTACTGAGATACTTGCCAATAAGCTCTGACACCAGCACACACCCCGGCTGCCCGCTGAGTGAGCTGCTGGTGGGGACAGCATGGCCTGTCCTCTCGGGTTCCTGCAGAGCGCCGCGCCCCTGCCCTAGACGGCAGCGGTCAGGTTTCAGGCGGTTTTACCTTCCTTCTTCTCAGGTGGTTTGAAGAGGTCTGCGGGGAAGAAGACCGAGGACTCCAGCTCCTTTGGGTACTCTTCGCCAATGTCCTCGAACCGCGGCACCCGGGCTCCGGTGAAGTTAGACTTGTTGAAGATGTCGACGGCGAGGACTGTGGGGACAGTTCATTTCAATCACACACAAGCCCCACCTCCGCTCACGGGAGCCTTCTGGAACCGTTACCGCTTTCAATCTGATCACAGCTGCCGTCACTTACCAACAATCTTAAACACAGAATCCAGTTCGACCTTTCTGTGTTCTTTATGCCTGCTCAGAGTTATACGGGAGAATATCCAAGTGTGACACGAGTAAGCAGGAGCAAACTCAGGTGTTTAATGTGGCATCCAGGGGCCACTGGGCTGGGGTCTGTGATGGGTAAGATCCTGGGAGGCCAGTGTGGTGTATACATTACACGTGAGCATGCCGTGACATGTTTGCATGGCATTACACAGATGCATGGTGTTACATGTAGAAATGGCATTACACATCTGCACAGTGCTACACATATGCATGGTGTTACATGTGTGCGGTGTTACACGCATGCACAGTATTACACATGTGCATGGTGTTACACATACATATGAAGTTACATGTATAAATGGCATCACACATGCAAGGTGATACATGTATGCATAGTGTTACATGTGTGCACAGTTACACATGCATGGTATTACACGTGTGCATGGTCTTACACGTGTGCATGGTCTTACAGGTATGCACAGTATTATACATGTGCATGGTGTTATACGTGTGCATGGTGTTAGGCATGTGCACATTACATGTGTGCATGGTGTTACATGTGTGCCCATCATTACACATGTGCACAGTGTTACATATATGCATGGTGTTACACGTGTGCACATTACAAGTGTGTACGGTGTTACACATGTGCATGGTGTTACGTGTGTGCATGCCATTACACGTGTGCATGGTGTTACAGATATGCACGGTATCACACATGTGCATCGTTACACATATGCATGGTGTTACACATGTGCACATCATTACATGTGTAAATGGTGTTACATATAAGCATGGTGTTACAGGTGTGCATGCCAACACACGTATGCATGGTGTTACATATATGCATGGTATTACAGGTGTACATGCCATCACACGCATGCGCGGTGTTACATATATGCATGGTGTTACATATATGCATGGTGTTACAGGTGTGCATGCCATCACACGTGTGCATGGTGTTACATATGCATGTCACTACATGTGTGCACAGTGTTACACATTTGCAGGGTGTTACACATGTGCATGGCGCTATACACATGCATGGCATTACCGTGAGCATGGTGCATGCCCCTAGGCATTCAGTGCATGAGTGTGGCACTGCCCTGCAGCTGGGCTTGGGCAACTGATGTCCCTTCAGGACAGGAGACAATGAGACTTCTACACATAACCCTGGATGTCCAGAGCATCCTGACGGTCTTCTGGGCAGGAACGGAGGGCCCCTCCCACGTCAGTCTCCAAAGCCTCCCATCTAGGGGTGCATGTTCGGGACCAGGCCCTGGCCCTGCCTGTCAAAAACAGTAGGGGGAGCCTGCTGGGATAATCAGTGGGCTAATCCCTCTGAAAGGAAAACTCCTCGTACTGACCAAGCGCCCACCACACGGGGCCCATCCCCCATGGACTTTATCAGCTCTGTCTGGGTGGAGTGGGCAGGGCTGGTTCTACCATGGGGGTGCTGGTCGGCATGAAGGAACCTGCCTTTCCCTCTCCGTCCTGAATAGCACGTCCTGCATGCTTGGTGTCTGCTCTGCTGGACGCTCCACTCTCCCCATCTCCCCCGGGTCCCGACGAGGGAGTGATGCCTGCCTGCTCCCCCAGTGTCCCACCGTGGGTGTGCCCCTAGGAGGGGAGCCAGACCAAAGCTACATCCTCATGTCCAGAGTCACTAGAAAGTGCCTGCGCCTGAGTGCCCGGGGCCTGCTGGGGTGCAGGATTGTGCGCAGCCGCAGCTCATCTCTCCCTCTGCCTAGGACCACACCGTCCACTTGGCCAGGGCGCGAGGTGTGTTATCATGGATCACTTTTGCCTTCCCAACGGCCCCCCAGGAAGGCCGTGTTCTCCCCATGTCACAGCCAGGAACATGGAGGTGCACAGTCGTGATGTCACTTTTCTAAGCAAGTGGCTGAGTTGGGGCTATACGCCCCAGGCCCCCCAGGGGCTCAGCCTTTGGAGGCCGCAGCCCAGATGTGGTGAATCTGTGAAGCCTGGGCCCCCCACGGGCCCCGCCCTTACTCATGTTGGGGGTGATGATGACGAAGGGCCGCAGGTAGGTCTTCCTCACGTTCCGCGCCACGGTGCTGAAGTAGGCCTCAAAGTGCCGCAGCAGCTGTGCCGAGCCGCCCTCGCTCCTCTGGATCTGCTCCCAGGCAGGCCTGGTGGCTGGGGCCAGGAGGGCGCTGCTGGTGCTCACCACGTCCTGTCGGGCAGACAGACAGGCACGGCGCTCAGCCTCGGTGCAGCGCGGGCCAAGCGGCCACACGCCCGGTGATCATGGATCCAGCTGCGCATGCTCACATCCTCGGCGGGAGCAAAGCAGTTTCTAGAAAGCCGCCAGATCGCCAAGAGCAAGGCAGCAGGACCAGAGTGGGAGAGTCCGATGGTGACATTTTAAAGACAGGAAGCTTTTTACGGAGCAGAGCCCCGTGCAGGTTTCGCTGTTTGTGCCCCACGATGTGTGTGGGGACACCCGCTCCAGGTAAACCAAGTGGGTGGGAAGGCTCACCCCTCCTCTGAGGAGGGAACCCCATGGCTGTGGGGGCAGTGATTCCACGGGTGAGTCTTGCAGACGCCCGAGCCCTCTGTGTACCCCGTGACTTATGTGAACGGTGGGGGTCTAGTGGCTGGGGCAGGTGGCGCTCTCCTCGGGGTTCCAGGGCCACTTCTGGTACAGAAGCCAGTCAGGGGTCCCCCACTTGTGAATTATCTAAGTGGAGAGCCAATCCGCTGGCCCAGACCCTCAGGCCTGGGTTCCAGCAGACGCTGGAGACCTGCTCGGGCCCTGAGGGGTCTCCAGGGACATGGTGGCGGCTCATGGAGAGGCGTGAATGAGGAAGCATGAGGCCAGGCTTCCCGGAGCAGGTCACAGACACTGGGACAAAAGGAATGCCTGCTCACCAGGTACTCTTGGGGCCCGGGGAAGCTAAACAAATGCAACTGGAGGGTGTCCGGGAGAAGGCAAGGCGTTTGCAGCAGACCCTTGGAGTGCAGGGGGGGTGCCACTCCTATGAGCTGTGTGACCTTGGGCAAGCTCCTTAGCTCTCTGGGCCTCAGTGTCCTTATTTGTAAAACGGAGTGATAACAGCACTGCGTCATAAGATGTGTTAGGAACGAGAAGGTGAATTACCGTAAAGCACTTAGGACACGGGCTGCCACTGTGGCTGCCCGCCAGGCCGCTCGGAATGGGAGCAAGTCGGGGACCGACTGTGTGGGCTCCGCTCCCCAAGGAGACCTCGCGCTGGGACGGAGTCCTGGGAGGCCCCCCGCCTACTGTTGTCAGCTGCTTTATATGATGTCTGTGTCGCTGTTCAACTACTGTAGTGGACCGCATGGGAACAGTATGGCTTCCTTAAAAACTGGGTAAAAATACCATGAAAATATGTGTGCGTTCAATCTCTTTTAAAGTGGCCTGCATCCCCTATGATGCTGGGGGACGGAGCTGACGAGTGTCCACTGTAGGCGGGGTCCTTACGGACGGGGACGCTTTTATGGATGGGGACGCTCTTACAGATAGGATGTTCATTTGCAATGTCTCCTTTGAAGGGAAACTACATCGTATGTGCGGATTTCTACTGGGAAGTTGGTGCAAATAAGGGGCCATTTGGTGCTCCACTCTTGCCAGAGCGGCCGCCCGTCCCACCTCGTGGAAGCCGGCGTCCCGCGTGGCCGCCAGGTCGAAGCCCTCCTGCCCGCTCTCGTGTCTCAGGACGCGGGCCAGCAGCTGGTAGGCTGTTCGCACGTCATTGCCGAACAGGGCGCTGGTGTGCCGCGTGGCATTACGCAATGCCTTGGCCAGCCGCACAGACCTGTCACCGTCCAGCCGCGTCTCGTTGTGGCTCAGCTTCTCGTTCTGGAAGGAGTGGGGAGCAAACAAGACAGGAGGTTTTCAGAGCTACTCCGGCTGCCATCGGGAGCTCACTCCTTTCTGGTGGAAACTTATCTATCAGAAGGGAACTTTAAAAAGTTCCGAAATCCAAAAAATGAACTTTGGTGGATAATTTGAACAAGTAGGGCCTGCGAGGCCCCTGGGTGGTACAAATGGTTTGCGATTAGCTATTAACCGAAAGGTGGGTGGTTTAAACCCAACCAGTGGTGCTGCAGAAGAAAGGCCTGGCCATCTGCTTCCGTAGAGATTACAGCTGAGAAAATCCTATGAAGCAGTTCTATTCTGTAACACATGGGGTCGCTATGAGTTGGAAGCTACTCAACAGCACCCAGTTTGGTTTGGTTTCTTTTCACTGGGCCAAAAATGCTTGAAAAAAGACTAAATGAAGAAGAACAAGAACATAACGAGATGAAAACGGGTCGGAATCCGAGAATAAACAGACTTGAATGTGGGGACTCTGAGTCTGCAAAACCAAAGACACCAGAGCTGATCCTGGGGGGACAAAAGGGGAGGCACTCAGCTGTGGAGCCCCGGAACAGATGGTGAGTCCGAATATTCCCGAGTCATGGAATGAGCCCCCACCCACCTCTGCCCAGCTGTGCGGCCCCTGTGCAATGCCGCCTGCCCTCACCGGTCCCCCACCACATGCAGGGCCCCTGCACGCCATCCCCGCGGCCTGCCTACCATGACTTTGAGGTCCAGGAAGGAGGAGGAGGTGCAGTTGAAGAGCTCGGGGGGCAACCAGCCCTTCTCCCCGCTGCAGTGCCGCACAGCGTCTCCTAGAGAGCCAAGAACCGGAAAGTAGACCTGGCACCGGAGCGGGAGCCAGCATGTGTCTGCATCCGCACTAACATCCCAGCCTGTGCTTACTGAGGCCTGGTGTTAACGTCTCAGCCTGAGCACACTGAGGCCCAGCGCACTGGACTGAGGGGCCAAGACATGGGTGACACAGGTCAGAGGACACCGTGCAGCCACCATGCCCTCTGCTCTGTCCCGTGGGGCCACGTCCACAGCTGCCCAGACCATCTACGCCCAGGCTGCTCTGTCTGCCTGAACCGCCTGGTAAGTAAGAGCAAACGTTTGTGCTATCCCATGAGAAAGAAGCCAGTTACATTGTGTGCAGAGCGAATGACATCCACATGCCTTGCCTATGTGCCTCGGACCCAGCCTGGGTGGCGAGCTCTCAGTGCACCATCTCACTGTCCCTCCCGCCCCCTTCCTGGAACAGATGCAGTCACCCCATCTTACAAGAGAAGCCAGTGCTGTGATCACCACAGCTCCCTGTCCCCGACTGGGGGTGGCAGCACCGGGACACGGGCCCGGGCCGCACTGGAGCCACGCCTTGTTTTTGCATCATACCACATGTGCTTTGTCTGCTATAAAGAAAGCAGCCCCAGTGGTGCAGTGGTTAAGTGCTCAGCTGCTAACCGAGAGGTTGGTGGTTCAAACCCACCCAGCAGCTCCGAGGGAGAAAGACTTGGTGCTCTGCTCCCGTAAAAATCACAGCCTAGGAAACGCTACGGAGCAGTTCTACTCTGTCACATGTGGTTGCTATCAGCTGGAATCGACTCGACAACACCCCTCAACAGCATTAAGGAAGACGTTGTCTTATTCCACCCCCGACACGTGGGCTGAAGAGCTTTTCAAACAGTCTGTCAACACTGATGATTTTGTGAGTGCTGACGCCCGGCCAGCTCTCCTGCAAGGGGTGGCCTCAGCCCAGTTCCTTACCCGGGGAAGGCCACAGGCCACAGTACTCACCCACGGAGCCCTTGGGGCACGGCACCGCCGCCGGCTGCCCAAACTTGGTCTGTGGCCACCAGATGCCGGCCTCGAACGCCCTGGGACAGCCACTGTAGATCACTACAGATGGTAGGAGAGGGCAGCTCAGCCCCACGGCCGGCCCGGGACACCGCCTGCGCTACACACCCCCAGGGGACGCTCCGGGCCCTCCCCACCCCAGGCTCTAACCACGTCTCTCCTGCAGGGCCAGGCTTCCAGAGGCCGGGGAAACTGTCTGACCAGCCGGCCACTGAGCGTTCCTCAGGCGTGTGCGGGGCACATGCAGACACATGCAGCACACACATGTGCACAGCACGCAGACACACACAGACACACAGCATGCACACGCAGAAATGGGCACACACAGACACGCGACACACGCACATGCACGCAGACACTCGCAGACACACACGCAGGCACACAAGCACAGACAGACACACACAACACACACACGCACATGCACGCACACACACATACACGCGGACACACATGCAGACTCACCGACACACAGACACACACATGCACGCAGACACACACATACACACACGCAGGCATACACGCAGACACACAACACACATACACATGCACGCAGACACACACACGCAGGCATACACGCAGACACACAACACACATACACACACATGCACGCAGACACACACACGCAGGCATACACGCAGACACAACACACATGCACACACATGCACGCAGACACACACACAGGCATACACGCAGACACACACATACACACACATGCACGCAGACACACACATACATGCAGGCATACACACAGACACACAACACACATGCACGCAGACACACACATACACACACACAGGCATACACGCAGACACACACATACACACACATGCACGCAGACACGCATGCAGACTCACCGACACACAGACACACATGTAGACACACAGACACGCACAGACACACGCACACAGACACAAGCACGCAGGGTCACAGACACACCCAGACACCCACATGCACACATGGACACACCGCCCCAGCAGCCCGCCCCCGTGATGTGGCCTGAGGGGCCCAGAAGCCACGCCGACCTTCGCAGCCCAGCGCAGTGACCTCGGCAAAGGGGTTGTCACAGCGGTTACACTGGCGCCCGATGACGCCCGGCTTGCAGGCGCACTGCCCGGTGTCCGTGTCGCAGGCGCGGCTGTGGGCGCCGTGCGGGAAGCAGTCACACGGCAGGCAGGCGTCCTGGCCAGGGGGCTTGTAGTGGTTCTCCTGCAGAGGGGAGAAGAGAGGAGCACGTGACCCCCCGCGCCTCCATGCCCACTCCTGGAAGGATGTCCCCAGGCCACCTCAGCACTCTTCCCCGTGCACGCTCTCCCTTGGCAGCGACCAGCCTGACCCCGGGGCCTCTCAGCTCCCCTGCCCACATGCCCCGAGCCCGGCCTGGAGCCAGACCTCTCTCGTTTGGTAGCAAATGCTCCCCTTGGGCCACCTTCCTGTCTATCCCAAAAAGGATCCGAGACTCAAACGGAGACTTAAGGATGAGGATGGCCCTTGTGGCGTTTTTCTTTTTGAAATTGTCAAAAACAAGGAACAACCTCCATGTCCATCACTTGCAGGTCAGGGGACGGTCCAGAGAATGTGCTCTGGCTCAGAGAGGCCCGGTTTACGCCCGGCTCGGCATTTACCAGCCGCCCTGCCCTTGGCCGGGCCCTCCTCCCCAAAACCAGCAAGCGGTGGTTTGGGCAGATTCGAGAGCCCACGTCCAGGTTCCCATGGTCTGCAGGGATCCAGACTCTACCCATACCAGGACGCACTGCATGTGATGCTGTGATGATGTCACCTGCGTTGTGGGGTGACGTCACCTGCGTGTGACGTTGTGATGTCATCTGTGCATGACATTATGATGCCACCTTTGTGTGATGCTGTGATGCCACCTGTGTGTGATGCTGTGATGCCACCTTCTTGGGACATTGTGACGTTTGGAAGACGGGAAGGAGAGTAAAATGTTAGCAATACCCCAGGAGGTCAGACTGTGGTGAATTTTATTTTCTGCATTTTCTGTCATTTTTGATGAAAAAAAAGGCATGGGAACATTTCCCTCCAGAGCCCTGGTGGCGCAGTGGTTAAGAGCTCAGCTGCTAACCAAAAGGTCTGCAGTTGGAATCCACCAGCTGCTCCCTGGAAACCCTATGGGGCAGTTCTGCTCTGTCCTGTAGGGTTGCTGTGAGTCGGAATCAACTCGAGGCAACAGGTTTGGGTTTGGTTCTGGTCTCTCCTGCCTGCTGCCCAGTGACGCTGTAACCCCGCTCCGTGTGGCCCGCCGGAGCCTGGCCCTCCTCCACCGTTTTAATGTTTCATTTCAGCACGTCAGAAGACAAGTCACATCTCGATCTGTACCTGCCGTGCGGCACCTGGGACATTTCTGATTTAAACAGACACCTGGGAAGTGTCCGAGTCGCCCCAAAGACCACTGCCTTTCCTGGGTCAGCCCCACGTCTGCGGGGCAGCGGTGTCCCCCGCCAAGTGCTGTAGCTACCGTGAGACCATCTGTGGGGCTTCAAGTTACCGCCGCTCGAGGGCAGACGCGGATGCAGTGATGCTCAGGGTGAGTGACAGTGCATGAGGTCAAGGGGGTGGCTGTCGTGCAATTTGGAAGAGAACACGCAAGCACGTTCAGAGACGGTGAGAAGCAGTCTTCCGTGCTGCGCAGCTGTGTAGCGGCCAAACTGGCAGGGTGGGAGTCGGGGAACGCTTTTCATGGTTTTCAATTGCGGCCGTCATCAAGGCAGGCAGATAACAGACCAGGAAATGGCCCGCACGGAGCACTGCGACTGACGCCCAGGAAGAGCCAGACTTCACAGCAGTGACCGCGTCTCTGTTACAGACCGGGTGTCGGGCTGACGAGGGGGCGGGAGTCTACGTCCCAGGGTCTGAACCAGTTTACACGAAAACCAGCCCGGTGTGCACAGGCATCACAGAGCACACGGGTGGGCGGCAGAGCCTAAAACACAGCTGAGCATAAACACGTGTGTGTGTGTACAGATGTGTGTGTGCAAGTGCCTCTGAATGTGCACGGGTACAGGCCGACTTGGGGGTGTCTGTGCATGTGTGTGTACACACTGATGTCTCTGGGCTCAGGACCTGTGTGTGTGAATGTGTGTACAGGGAGATAGGTGTGTGTGTGTGTACAGGCAGGTATGTGTGCAGCTGAGTGTGTATGTGTACAGGTAGACTTGTGGGGTGTGTGCATGTACAAATGTCTACAGGTAGAGTGTGTGTGTATACAGGTACATTTGTGTGGTGTGTGTGAGTGTGGTGCATGCGCATGCATGCCTGTGAGCTCGCCGGGCTCAGGACCTCCCTCCTGCCTGTGTCCCCACCTTGCACTGGCCCCGCCCACCCACGCCCCAACCTTGCACTGGCCCCGCCCGCCCGCGCCCCTACCTTGCACTGGCCCCGCCCGCCC